GGGCTTTTCAGCCCTTCGTCCAAGTTGCTGATGAAGATGTTGAACAGTGCGGGCCCAAGGACTGAGCCCTGGGGTACCCCACTGCCCACATCCCTCCAGGATGAAAATGACCCATCCACCACTACTCTCTGGGTGTGGCCTTCCAGCCAATTGGTGACCCATCTGACTGTGAAGGCATTGACACCACAATCTCCTAATTTTTTAGGAAGAATGGTGTGAGAAACCGTGTCGAAGTCCTTCCTAAAGTCCAGAAAGACTACATCCACCACGACACCTGCGTCCAAGGATTTTGTGACCTGGTCATAGAAGGCCATCAGGTTGGTCTGACAGGACCTGCCTCTAATGAACCCATGTTGTATGCTTAGGGGCAACCACTCTCCTGCTTGCCCCTCGCAGATGTGCACCTGGATAATTTTCTCAAAGAGCTTCCCCAGAACTGAGGTAAGACTAATGGGCCTGTAGTTTCCTGGGTCCTCTTTCCTCCCTTTTTTGAAAATGGGGACCACATTGGACCTTTTCCCATCCTTTGGCACCTGGCCAGAGCACCATGAGTGTTCATAAAGCTGTGCCAGGTGTCCTGCACTGACCTCTGCTAATTCCCTCAGTACTCTGGAGTGGAGATCATCCGGACCTGCTGACTTGAACATGTCTAGACCCACCAGAAGTTCCCTGACTAGGTCCTCACTGGCCCTGGGCCTGGCAGCACCTCCCCTGGGTTCATCAGGGATCCCAGTGGGGGGATGCCCCAGTCCCTGCTCAAGAAGATGGAGGCAAAGAAAATGTTAAAGAGGTTAGCTTTGTGAGACAAAACAGCAGGACTGCACTGATTTACACCTGCTGAGGATCTGGCTCACTTGTCTAGGCACATCTGTTCTGAGCCATAGGGATGGATTCCTTGTGGCTGGAACCACAACCGGCTGAAATCAGTTTGAACACCACAATGCTGCTTAAAGAGGGTTGTGATCTTCAAAGTTAAAAGAACAAAACAACTACCAAAGGCAGCAAGCCATATTTTTCAGCCTAAAAGGAACCCAGTGCCTGAAATCACAGTCCAAACGAAAAATTCACGTGACCTGTAAGGCACGGAGTTCACCAGTGTAAACCATTGGTCATTTGCCTCAGATGCCTCTGAGCAAACATTTCAGGTGCGTACCATCCTCTGTACTGAAAGATGACGAATCAAATCTTCCAAACAAACATATGCCTGAAAACCACAATTTGCGCTGTGTTGGCTTGAACAGGATAATGATCAGGCTGTGCTTAAGTTTTGCATGCATCAAGAAGAGAGACCACCTGACCCATCACCTGTATGAATTACCAATATATTCTCTCCTAACTCTTGCAGGTATAGGATAGCTTCACTTGTATGATAAAAAGGTACCATTATTGGCATAATCCAAGACTCCAGCTTTGTTGTGAATTCATAGTTATAGTAGAAATATTTTAAGTGCTACAGAAAGCAAAAGGCCCCCGTAGAATCAGCAAAGTATTTACACACACTCACAGTTTTCAAAGCATTTGTGTTTTCTATCCTATTACTGTTGTTGTTAGCATTACTACATTGCAGTATGGTAATCATTAGTATTTTGGTAATGACCAAGAATTGGAGTCAAAGACCAGGATTCTATCATATGAGAATTACAGAAGACCAAGACAGTCTCTACCCTAATGGCTTATCTGTTACAGAATTGACACTGGCTTAGTCTTTGAAACTTGGCAGACCTGCCCACACTGCTCCAGACACAGCACATCTCTCACACATCCGCAGTATTTGCCAACTCTCATAAATATTTGGCATTGTTCTTCCAGTCTATGCTTTGGGAATGTGGAAAACGTAGCTTTCTTTTTTATACACACACACAGATACCTAAACAAAAACAAACAAAAACAAAAAAACCCCACACACATATACATATACACACACACAAGAAAGCTGTTTTTTACATTCCCAAAACAGTTCTTTCCTTCATCTATCAGATATAGATACAGAAGAAACGGCTAAGTTTTTCACACTCCTGAAGCATAGACTTTAAGAACAATGCCAAAAGTCATGAGCTGGCAACACCACATCAGCTCTCTTGGACAGCATAATGGGTTGAAGGGGGGCAGGGTAGATTTGCACCTTATAGACTAACCAGAGTAGATATATGTACCACAAGCTTTCATGGGCTGAAACTCACCTCAGAGGTGGTCTGACTTGCACTCTTTTCTTAAATATGGAGGAACTATGGAGAACATGATCCCTCCCATTGGGAGTGTGCGGGTGCTTGGCCTCATGCTGAAGTACTGCTCCAAAACACCATACATTTCCCAGCATTTAGGGCTGATTACTACATTTTTTGTAAGGCAGGAGAATTTTTCATTTGACTTTGTATCACAGGGCTGGAAGGAGTCCTCCGGTCCATCCCCCTATTTCGGCTGTGCAAACTCTTTATGGAAGTAACATTTGCCCTCACCTATTTATCTGGAATTCTCTGCCCCTTTTCCCTCAGCCACTGATTTTAAAGCCGTTCGTTACTTGTGCTGCTTGAGTTAATGAAACAAGAAATTAAAAAAAACAAAAAAAAACAAAACACACCAACCAAATTCTCTGTCTCCGATATATTCCTTGCTTTTGATGGGGCCAGGATGGAGCTTAGGTATTCTGGTGATATCCCAGCCCCCTGTGCTACCATTCATGCCCACAGAGCTGAAGCACAAAGCTCTCTGTACCCTCCTTATAGAGTGACTTTCATTTTCATGAAAAACAAGTCTGCCCTTCCCCTCCTGGAAGCATCTCTTAAACCTATTCAGCCCCTGTGAAACGTGTGTGTCGCTAGGAAGCACTTTGTTCCTTTTTTGAGGACACACAGTACAGTAAATGTTTTGCTCCTGCTTTCTACATGTTGTTGGAGTCTATCCAAATCCCTGATCTAACAAAACCCACATTTCTTCTTCCCTTTCAACATCAGGCACCCTCTAAATACAGTATTACGTTTTGAAACTAACCCATTTGTTGCTTTTCTTTCTCTGCACAACACTTATAATTGAGCTGTCCAAGCTTGTATCGCAGTTTTGTTTGGGAAAATAACCTTAGCAAGCACAAAGCAGCACAGTCCGTCTTCCAAGATCTTAGAAATCCTGCCTTTCCCATGTCTCTCAGGCCATCTGGAAGCAGTGTAGAGCTCAATAGATTCTGGTCAAAGATTTTTAGCAATATGCCAAATCATCATGAATCCTCAAATGCTGTCCTATCCAGCTATCTGTCATTTCATACTAGCACCTTTGTATGACCTCAGCAATAATAGACTACAGAATTTAACAGAATTTTAACAGGCCACAGAATTTGTGCCTTCAGAATTGAACTGTACCACACTGTATGGAGTCACCCTTCTGACGGTCCACTCTGCCACGCAGTGGTGCATCCAGATGTGAAACACAGCTGGCCTTATATCAGAAGTGCTCCGACATAAAACTCTGCAAAGAGGCCACATGAATTGCAAGTGTGCTTGGAAATCAGCTTTGGTGCAGGCACCACACCCAGAAACGCCTGCCTTATTTCATTGCTAAGGTAACAACGGAAGCTGAAAAAGAAAGTTTAAATGTCTGGGATCCTATTGTAACGTGTACATTGTTCTTTCAATGCACAGATCATGGCCGTTTGGTGACAATACAAAGGAAAGGATATATTTGTGACTTGCATCATGATGATGGCAGAGGAAGTGGTGAACTGACTGATCTGATAACTTAAGAGAAACTATCTTAACATTGGTTAATTGTGCAAACAGCTAGGGTGTGTATGTGTGCATCTCACTACTATAACCTTCATCTTCTATTCTTGACTCCATCCCTTGTTTATTATACCCACCTTTTGCATCTCGTCTTAAATTAGACAACCCTTCAAGATAGGGACCATCCCTCGGCGTGTTTTATTCACAGCTGCCAGGAGACTGGCTGGAGTACCAGTTGGCCATTCAAGTCTCCAGCCCTACTCAGGTTCTACATAAAGCCCACCAGCTCTGGCCAACAGACTGTTTCATATTTCCTTTCTGAACTGCTGGTGCGTGTAGGTGCATGTGTGTAAGGGCACAGTGACGGGCCTTCCTAAAGCTAGAAAGCTTCATTCTCAGTCATAACAGACCACTTTGAAGCTGTAAAGGGAGCTTTCTGCAAAACCAGCCTTACGTGTTGACAAGGGACTTTGCATGGCATGTATTTTGCTTTTGCACAACAGTAATGCACAGACCATAGGAGGCAACATTAAAACAGCACCTACCCAAAGGTACTTGACCATTCATCAGCACTATGATTCCCAGGGCCTCCAACAGTGAGAATAGGATACCTGCTGTAGCAATTTTTTCACCCCAGCCTGGAAAATTGCATTGTAAGGAGTAAGCGTCTGTTTTTTGAAGTGAAATAGCTCTGCGATCACAGCAGTACTGCAGCTAGGCTCTGAGTGTGGCCATGGAAGCCAAAAAAATGCTCCTCATGAATTCCATGAGCTTTGGATCAGACCCTTGCACCTATCAAAGTGGCTTACCTCCCTCTTAGCCCAAGTGTCAGTGAACACAGATAATAATGAATCAGGTGTTGAATCTCAGATTAAATAAGCCTCAGTAACCCTGAAGACTGAAAGAAAGTATGAAAAGAAACCCTTACCAACCTACCTTGAATAAATGGCTGTGTCTGCATCTGTAGCCTTATTTTTACCAGGTCCACAGGACAGCCAATTCCTACTGAAACAAATCCTGCTACCATGCTAGCAACAACCAAGTCTGAGACTGCTGAGGCATGGTTGGAATCTCCATAGCGATGCTGGCGAATAAATCTCTGAGTATTGCTGAAGACACCAAATACCACAGAGCTGTAGACAGCAATGCTGGCCAATGGGAAAGACATTCCTTTAAAAAACCCAGCAACCTAACAGTAGGATAAAGCAAGAGTTAAAAAGAGACTCATCCGTCTGACTGCTTTTATTATTTGGGTCACATTTTTCTAGCAAAACCTTAAAATTCCACAGCCCCTGTTCTGCTTGAGTTTGCAAATCTGCATTTCTGTTCTTTCCCTCAGGACTTATAAATTGGCTTGTGCAATGCAAGATATCGATCACAGATTATTTCTCTTATCATTGTTTTAACCTAACATGCTCTTTGATCCTCTCCCAGGGCTAAATGAGATATGACATGTAATGCTTCAGCTAAAAGTTCCCAACAATTCTTTACCATCCTCTCAAAAAATAAATGAGTAAAAATAAAGCCAAGAAGATTTGTTCCAGCAAGCTCTGTTTGGACATGAGGCCAAAGATCTGAATAGCAGATGTTTCTTGGAGCTAAGCGCTTACACGTTACAGTTGAAGGAAAAATGAAAATGATTTTGGGACAGCGAGAAAATGCTTCTAGTGTTTTCAAGCATTATGCAGAAAAAGGGGAATATTTTAAAAACTGGATGCCTATAAAAAGTGTATTTTAGGAGCCAAATTCTCTCCTGGCCTTACTCAGCTGAAGCCAGTGAAGTGACTCCAGCAGAGAAGTGTACCTATAGAGATCTTAGAAAGAGGTACTGCCAACTTGAACATGGCAGACCAGGGAGGCTGAGCCAATGCTTGAGAACAGATGTTTATGAAGAGCGACATGCTGACTTTGCTTTATGCTGAAGCAGGTGGTGGTATATTATCAGGTCAGCATGGCTAGCATAATACTGTATAAGCTACACACTGACTGGGCCAAAATTCTCGCTTCTGGAAATAAGTCTGCACGTCGCTGCTCAAGGTTAGCAGGGACACAGGAAAAAGCCACAGATGCCTGTGGTCCCTATTTCTTATAATCAGGGCTTTGCATGCGATTCTGTCAGCTACATGATTTTTGCACATGACTTCTAATCCCTTCTCCATTTTCTCCCATTTCCTGCTTGAGACAAAATAAGGTACTTACAGTTTCATTTCTGTACACGGTGAAGACACAGTTGAGTGTATTCCCATAGCCTTGTCCAGCTTGTAACCGGGTCTGCAAAATGCATATATGAAATGTAACTGAAGTAACACATCTCCAATTCCTTTCAAACTATGCACACTAGGTACACTTTGATTTGACAGTGAACTGTTTTCCCATTCCTAGAACAAATAGGGCCACAACGTTGAAATGAACATATCAAGAGGCACAACTTGTATGTTGCCAAAGGCCCATCTAAATAGACCCTCAGATGTCTGGAGTTCTTTGCTACATCTGGAACCCCTGATTGGCCAGTTAGTGTCAAATTATAAAAGACAAAATGTCCTAACCCTCCACAGATTCATTAACATACACAGTATGCAAAAGATGAGCATCTGCAATGGAGAGCATAAACTACCTTTTAATAGGAGTGTGGTGAGTTTTCTGTCATTTGAAGTCTTTAAAGTAATGTTGGCTATCTTTTTAAAATATGTATCCTAGCTCAGCTAGAAGGTGTAGCTTTGACACAGAGCTTGATGATTAAAAGTTCATGGCCTGGGTTATATGGAAGGTCAGACTAGATGGCCCTAGTACTCTCTTCTGGCATTGATTCCTCTAAATCTACTAATTATCATACTTTGGAGAGTGTTGTGCATTGTTCATTCACTTAGCACACATTCTCTTAAAATTTAAGAAAGCCATACATTTAACACAGGTAAAATTTGGCCATTCAGCTTAAATCCAAGAAAACAGTATTATGCGGCAGACTAATGAGAGTCAGGCTTCTGGAGTTCGCACACATAGGATAGTATTTTTAGTTCTGATGAGCATTGTACTTCAGCCTTCGTGCTTGATCTGGAGAACAAAATGCACGGTCCCTAGCCATGAAATTGTGGCTACTCAGTCCAGATGCCACAGCCTGGCCCATCTTCAAGCAAACTTCATTAGTGATGGATGTGATGCAGAGCCCAAGAGTCCTTGATACACACCTTGCCTACCCTTCCCATCCTCACAGAGCAGATGTATGACAGTTTTACTCTGCTGGGTACCTTCTGTGGCCCTTATAATGCTAGGTGAATTTCAGTCATGGTATGCAAACAGAGGGAGCCAAAACAATCATTCCAAACCCCCGAAATATCTTGCATCTAATGGAAAAAAAAAAGTGTTTTTCATATCATCCGGAATAAAGAAGATTTCTTTCTGGGCATAATTTTTATATGCTTTCCAAAAATACAGCAGTCATAAAAAAAAGTGGCAAATGGCATGTACCATGACAAGCCCTGTATTGTTTAGCTGAGTTTTTACTTTTCATATACATGTGCACACACCATAGATCATCAGTCATTAATTTACATGCTTTTAAATTTTTAGAAAAATCCCTGAAAAGTATTCTTAGCTTAGAGGCTTGCCTCAGGGGAAATTCAGACTGCTTTATCATCTAATAGTAAATCATCTAAGAGATGTTCCATTTTCCCTTTCACTTTGTGGTTGCACTGAATAATAGCCTGAGTGAACATGAATTATTATTTCCATCCATCCATTAATCATAGATGGAACTTCGGCCTTATCTTGGGCCTCTCTGCATAATACAGTTTGCAGCTTACTATCCTTTTCCTTATATGTAATCCCCTTCCTTATCACTGAAGTTTCTCAAATCTCATGTCCTCTTATCAGAACACTCATGGCACCAAGTGTATGGCAGGATAATACACATGCATTTTCTCCAGATCAGTAGAAAAATTACTCAATAATACCACATATAGACACTTGGTTTCTTCTGGGACAGTCGCTGCTCTCCCAGGAGAAACCATGAGTGTACAAATGTTCAGGATTTCTCTCTGAGTGAGAATGGCCACTCGAAGAGAAAAACAAACTTAGCAATAGCCAGAGTTAAATTACTCCCAGGATAGTTTTCTTGGGAGAGTGAATGCCTGTATATATTCTCATCCGAGAGAAGCCCAGCATAGTCCTCCAGCATCCCAGGGTGCTTTCCTCCCACAGCTGAGCAGGGAACAAAACACACCACCTTCACAATTTCCACGTTGCCTGCGTCTTTCTGCAGCATAATTTGAGTTAGCCAATCAAGACTGCCCTGTGCACTGCTGCCCTTTGTCTCCAGACAGATTGAGGGAATCTGTAGAGCACACTGAGATGTGTGTACAGGGTTCCCCTGGCTACACAGAGTCAGCATTGCAAGATTTGTGCTCTTCAGGGGCTCAGCGTTCAAATGTCTATTCAGACATCTTTGGCTAAGCTTTTCTACCAGGAGAACAAACCCAGATTATCTGAATGTCTGCATGCAGCCTCAGCCACCACAACCAGCTCCTACTCAAAATCTCTCTTTAGACCCGATTGCTCAGAAACCTACCTGCACAGCAGTACAGCCCGTTGCTCCAAGAGTGCATCTTATTGCCCTTGCTCTAAATCCTCACTAAAGAGGCATGAGCCTTCATTTTTAGAATACACTGGGCATGTCTACATAAGATTCTAAATGTGCAGTAGCTGAATAATATTGCACAGTAGCATGTCACAGCACCAACAGTGCTAATACACTAATGTGCAGTATCATTAGGCAACTGCACAGTAGTGTCACTTAGAAGTGATTCGCCAGTACACTTGCACTGTAACTCGGGTTACTGTATATCTATTTAGTACTTGATTATATTAAATCAAGTATAACACACCCAGAGCAGGGTGTGTTCTGTTCCCTGCTCAGCTGCAGGAAGGAAATTTTGGGAGGAAAGCACGCTGGGATGCTGGAGGACTATACAAGTACTAAATAACTGGGTAGTGACCACTGCACAGTAGTGTCTTGTGTAGATGCACCTACTATGTAGTTATGAAGGCTATTTAATAGGGAAAGGGAGTTGCACTGGGGGAGTATACCAAGCAGGCGTGAGGCAGACATGTAGAAGAGATTATATTTTGAAAACAATATATGAGCTCCTGCAGGAATCTCCCCCTGCTGAACTTCAGCCAGAAAGTTACAGGAAACTAATCTCAAATGTTGCAGGTGAGGTTTGCCTATACAGTTGAGCAGCGTGTCAAGTGTTGATGCCTAGATGTATAGGACTCTATAGCACTTAACTCTCTGCAAAAGAGGAGGAGATCAGGAAATAACAAGCTAGAATGAAAAAATCATAATAATCAAGGACTGAACTATGTCTAAGCTCTTTTAAACACCTGAGATGATGGGCAGATGCCTGTTGGTTAGATACAGCTTATGGTAGATCTGGTTTTCAGAATGTCAGGCACAGTTTTAGTTGTAGGGAGTGTGTGTGTGTGTGTGTGTGTGTGTGTGTGTGTGTGTGCGCGCGCACACACAACTGCATGTCTGATTTGTGCATGCAAATTCTCACATGGTGCCATTAGGTATCTGCATACAGAAAGTGAGACAAGGGTGGAAGATGTGCATATGCAATGAGTTTACATTCACTTTGAATCCTTTCACTGACCAAAATGCATCCCTTCTTCTTGGGTTTGCTTTCTTTTCTTTCACATAATAACCAGGTTCCACAAGGTTAAAAGTTAATACATTTGTTAGCAGAGACTAACTGATGTATCAGCTATTCAGCTGCTCATCCCCATGAATTATCTTTAACCACACTGTTTTATCATTCACTAATATTCAGGACTAATTCCTCTGCTACTGAAGTCAATAGATTAGTCCTAGTAGAGAATCTGGTCCTGAACACATGGAATTATTCTTTTCTGGAACTCACTCCTTCATGTTACATTTTAACTTAAATTATGGTGCAAAAGGGATTTCAGCATATGGTAAACCGTGGTCAATGGTGGCATGTCTTGAGTTTGTCTATTCCCTGCATCACCCAGCATTGTAACACTGCATCTGCCTTTCTTACAGGAACTCAGTGTTACTCAACAGCAGACATTCAGCAGTACAAGACATCTGATGAAGAAGCAGAACTGTAAACCTCCAGAACAGCAATGAGATTCCGGGAAACAAGGAGAGAGAAAAAATGTTTAGCAGTGCATCTTCTTACAGTCAGGCTGTTCTAACCAGTTCTCAGGTCTGGATGTGCAAAGCTTGCATAAAGATCCCAACCCTGCCCCCATACACGCTGAGCCACACTTGAGGATTGGTATACTTAAAAAGTAGAAGTATTTTTAGGCGCTTTTAGAGCAATACATAATTTTCATATGACACATGAATGCCAAGAATCTTATGTCCCTGGGGAGGCATGTTGTCTGCATGGTGAGAGTGTGAAAAGTGGCTTGGGCTACAAGAGAAACAAGAATTCAACTTACTAGTTCCACACAACTGCCCCTAAACTGTATGTGTGGAATATACTACTAGTGTTACTGTACCCTTCTGGGTTATTTATACACAAATCTAATGATCCCCACAGCTGCCAAAACCCAGTGTACGTGTGGAATTTAGCACTCACATTACTGGACTTTCTTCATACTCTTCTTGCTTATTTATAAATCCGCTCATAAGAAGCAGACTGGTTAATTAAACCCTTCCTCTCCCACTCATAAGCAGCAGGATTGTGGTTGCTCTTGCATGTGAATGCACCATTCAGTGATTCACAGCAGTGGGGGTCAGTGCACTACAGTGGGAGTGGAAAGTCTGGGTTTGGCCCCAAGTTCTGCCACTGGCCTGCTAGGTAAAGTCACTCCCCCTCTTGCTGCCTCAGGCTTCCCACCTGTAAAAAATGGTCCCCCAACAGAGCGAGCCACCCCAGAGCAGCAGCCACAGAGGCTAAACTCTGGCCTGAGACAAGCCTTAGTGGAATCCAGAATTATCCTGAAGTCGTGTTTTTGAAAAAGCATAATATAGTGGCTTCTTGGGATGGAGAGCAGGCTAAAAGTGAGGACTCACCTAGTGTCATGGAAAAAGAGCTGAGCAGAAGAAGTCAGCAGTGCTTGAACACAAGTGAGAGGAAATACCACAGCAAATTACCAGGGAGCTTTTTCTGAAAAAATGATCCTTTTTATTGCTTGTAGGGACCTGCAAATCTAAATTTAGAGAGTTTCTCCAGTCCTAAGGAGATAATTCATGTAAACTCCTCCTCCCAGCATGTACAAGCCTGAACATCGAAGAATGTGAAGCGGTTGTTTATGCATAAAGAAAGCAAAGGGGCTGAAAGGGGATAATCCTTCCCTTATGTGATGGTAGGAGCAGCTATCTAGCTTGTTCCCAGAGACTCCTTTCATGCACAGAATTGGCTTTTGTCCTGAGAACAGCCAAGCCTTGGGTTTACAGGCAAAAACTGAGAATAGCAACGGTGCCTACAAATGGCACAGAGAAAGTCCTGACATTGAAAGGGTGAAGTCAAGGTCTAGAGTGAAAGGGGCCTTGACAGTCTTGCTTATGGTTATAGACTTATAAGGGAAAGATCTTGCTGGGATGTTAGGTGATAGGGAAGGGAAAGGAACTGATAGACAAAAAGGTTTGTTTGCTTGGGTGAAAGAACTGCTGTGCTGGCAATTTAATTCACATTCAGCAGTGCTTCTTACCTCCCTGTTTAGAGGAAAAAGCTTTGTTCCTTATTCCATTGGACATCACGCTCATGGGTAAACACTGCACAGATGCCTGCTTCCAAGCTTGCTACTGGTTAGCTTCTCTCACCCTCCAACCCCATTTGGAAAGGTAACAAAGCTGCTTGCTTGGTATTCCCAAGCAACAGCCCAAAGCCAATGTAATAGAGGTGCCAGCTTGACCCTTGTCTTTATGCTCCTTGAAAGATGTGCTACTTGTTACTTGGCAGTTCCTGTGCAATTGGAACACCAGTGTTCCCACCAACACCCACAGCAATGACAGCAGTGCCATCCCTTGCAGATTTAAAGGTACAAACTCCTCAGAGTGCAAGGGTGCGGTATTTGCCGGTAGACAACCTGCCATGCACACAAAGCCTGCACTCCGCTCCAAGGGCCGAATACCAATTCCTACTGCAGCCGCAAGGGAAAAAAAAGTGTTGGTAATAAGCACCACACTCCCTTGCTGTCAAAGAACCCCAGGTAACAATGTCCTTCAGCCAACAGCCAACAAATGTGACCTGTCCTCCGGAGCAAAAGTATGTGGGCTGTTAGCTGGGAGTTTAAAATGTCCAAGGATGGGACTTTCAGTGGCAATTTGATAACCCACCCACTAAAGTGGCTTTAAACATAGAGGTAAGGAAACAAAGCCATATGTTGCTGTGAGCACTCCTAACCTGCTTCTGCCTATCCATAGAGGCTGGACACTTCCACAGTCCCTCTACCAAAGTGCTGAGATCACTATTAGCTTCCCTTAAAAAGGAGTGGTCACGATCTTATTTCTCACACGAATCAGAAGAGCTTGTCAAGAAGGCCTAGCATTGGCCAGCCTGGTTCATGCTGTCCCATGAGAGACCCTCCAGAGCCAGCATGCCTCCCAGACTGATGCTTCTTGGACTATAGAAATGGCTGTCTCTCTCTGGCATCTTCTAATCCATGCTCTTGCCACAACTCCCCCTTGCCCTTCTACAAGGCCTCCGTGCACCTGTAGACACAGCCGCCATGGGAACATTTGATGCAAGACGTTCAGAACTTGTGTAGCCTGACCTCTTACACTGCAAATCCAAGCTTCTACAAGCTTTTGGGGCCCTGTACTCAAACATAATGACCTCCAACCAGGGGCCAGAGGCAGGGTTTGAATCCTGGGATTTAAGATAAAGTCCTATTCCTTTTGCGCTGAATGAGGAGATCTGTTTAAATCTATCAAAAATGACTATCCTCCAGATCACTGTCAACTTCTGTTCTGGATGGTTCTCCTAAACTACCATGCACCCTGTATCATCAACTTTGAACCAGGAGTGAGAAAGGAGGCCCAGTATGATCTGCAAATCACAGGTTGGACACCACGATCCTTTGGACCCACAACAGCAGTAGGTGGGCAGAATATACGAGGGGCATGACTTTTAGAAAGATGGGAATAGTATGGTTTCTCTTTCTATCTTCACCAACTACAGCAGGGATGACCAACCTGTGGCACAGGCAGCTTCCATGCATGGCACAGGGCAGACCTGGGACAGGACAAGCAGCACAGTAAGAGAGGAGCAGAAAACAGTAAAGCAGATCAGAAAGGAGAAGGGGATCCAAGGCACTTGGAGAGAGTGTGAGGCTAATTTGTGGCACGCCTGCTCCAAAGGTTGGCCTCCAGTGGACTAGTGTAAAGCACTAGCGTTTCTTAAGTGTCGTGTTCCAAGCATGTTCAAGTTTCATGACCCATTTGTTAGAGCAGGCTGCCTAACAACCTACCTGGAAGTTCTAATGCTGCGGAGAATATTAGAGTTTTGGCCAGGGAAATAACAGGAATTGCACCTGTTCACATGTATTTTTTGTACTCTGCCCTTGCAGGACTTCAGAAAAACATTTTAAAAAAAACATCCTTTTAGCAAAGGCAAATATAAACCTTCTTTTGCCCTTTGAAATACTGACAGACATTGTCAGTGCACTGAACCCTGTGTAACTTTCACTTTCAAACCCCACCAGGATTCATTCCTTAGTCCCATTTTAAGGTCTCCCAGTAGTCTCTCCATTTTCAAATCAGAGCTGGGAAACAAGAAGAAAAAAAAAAACACAATGAGTAGTGACTAAGGGGTGGACTCCAAAACATACTTACCCACCTCACTCCTATGCACGTGGCTAATTTATTCTTGAAATCTAAGATAAATGAAGTCAGTGCCTAACCTCCCTTGTGAACTTGGGATGAACTGCCATCATGGACTAAACTTTTTCCCTGTGCTGCCCCTCAGCAAGAGGTGAGTTTTATGCTTAATCTGTTAAAGTATAGGTCTGATTTTACCTTTACTGTGTCCAGAGGATGCCCCACGATTACACTTGCAGCACCTGGGGATTACAATGAAGTAATTAGACAAGACACAGGTGAGTGAGGTAACTCAAAGACACCATTAATCCTATGGAAGTCCAGTCCGTGCTCCATTGCAGGTGTTGAACTCATGGCCGTTCTGATGTAGCTGGCAACCAGCAGAACCGTGCACCAGGAAGTAGCTAGGGAGTAGAGATGCAATAAGACTGTTCATTCTTTGTATCAGCTCTGCCAAGCACGGCCCAGAGAGGTCTCGGCAGTGAGACCAGAGCAAGGGAATAGCCACTTGGCATGAAGGGAAGTGTTCCTGTCTTGCAAATAGTATTCTGGGCCAGGGGCTTGAAGAGCATCTATGAGAGACCTGTGGAGGTTGTTCCGATTGCAAGTTGGAAGATAGTTTTTGCACCCTCAAATCCTGATCCAGTTCCCTGCATAAGACTTACTGTAGCTTTACCAGGGTTTGAGTCTGAGAATTTCTGCCTCCTCCCATGCCACTAGCATGAGCATAGGCATCTCTTTTGATAAACAGACCATCACAACTTTACTCAGGAGTGGCAGTCAACAATCATGCCAATTTGCCAAGGATTCCAATTTCTCCGCAATGGATCAGGGCATTAACCTGGTCTTAGCTATATGGACTAGAACCAGCCAACTCAGACCTCCCTGGGAGTTTCAATACAAGTCTTGTGGGCTTGGTATGGGTATCCCAAAGCAGGACAGAAGCACTTTTCTGGAATGGCAGGGGGCAATTCTCCTATTGCTGGCCAAATTTCCTTCTCTAGCTAGTTGTCATGTCCAAGTGCCTGATGCCTTCCATCCTAGAAGCGGCTACATTTAGCAATGCCTTTTTTCTATAGTTTGTTAAGCACTTCGGGATACTTTTGGAAGCTGAATGAAACTCGATAAATGTAAGACATATAATTATCATCATCATCTTCTTCACAAGACCTTCTTCCTGCCTTTTCTTGTGGACTTGGAGTTGACTTTAGGGGAAGACGGAATCGATATTTTCTGCAAACAGCCTGATCAATAATTGTAACCTGCTAAAACCGCTCCCTGACAAATATTTTGTTCCTCTATCAAAATCCTCCAGTCAGAAGCACATATTGCCTTTGATAAGAGGGTGTGGATTAATGGAGCCATTTGATTGACTGATGAAAGTTCCCAGCTGTTTATATCTGAAGTTGCCTGCCCATGGTTCTCAACTCAATAGCCAACAGGCTAGCAATACATGTTGGGGTAGAGTACCATTTTACATACTACCCAACCAGAGACATTCAGTCTCTACATCATGACATTGATTCAGGAATGTGCGATATACACAACACCAGGAACTCATGTGTCTAGCTACATAAATCAGTTGTCTCTGAAGAAACAGATATAATAATGTGGTGCTGCTGTTGCTGCTTGCATTTAAGATACCCCTTTTGCACAAATGGCATAAGCTACGTACGCAGACAAGCACAATCATTACTAAATGCACATGAACGGATTACGTCCATCAGCATTATACAGCCTCGAGTCTATGCGATTTGTTTAAATTGTCCCATGCCCTCACCACTTTGCATATCCTTCAGTCCCCACTGTTCCAACGTATGCCCCAAGTGTTACTTACCTCCTACCCAACCAGCTACAAAATCTTCTAATTGGAAATTGCCCATGGTTTCAAACAACTCCTAGTCAAATCTTTTCCTGCAAGTTTGCAGCACACATTCAATTGCTGCTGCCTGAGCTACTGAGGACAGCAGGAACGTGCCTCTGTGGCTCTCTGAGATGATATCCAAGACCACAGGATCCCAAGTGCTTGTAGTAACAGTTTGTTTTGGTTGCAAGTTTCAGCAGTCCTAAAACTGAAAATCGACCCGGACTCTAAACTCTCCCACTGTCTGTCTCCAAGTGCCTCCAAAGCCCACTGTGACATCATTCTCCCAAACCTTAAAGGCACAGTACAACCAGAGCACAAGAATACACTGCTTCCCTTTGAGGGGCAGGAGAGGAAAGTTACTAAATCATCACACATTTATTCCAGGTTAACTGACCTTCTATTCTGAAAGTCCCTTACAAAAGAAGTATCAATCAAAGGGAAACTATATGACTGTAATAATGATAACTGATGATAATTACTTATGAAGGGGGTGGACTATTTTGGTACTTCTAATAGATTTTTTTGTAATGAATTATTAAAATTCCAGGTAAGGGATAAATCTAGTATTAAAAAAAAAATGTTCAGAACCTGTTCTTAAAGAATTAATGAGACTGCTCAGGGGTCAATATCTAAACTGATATAAATTGGAGTAGCTCCCCTGACTTCAGCCGATTTACACCACTTAAAACCTTGGCCTGCAGAATATAAAAAATTAAAGTGTAAAGCACATGCATCAGATGAGGGGGAGGGGGTTACAGAACTATGGCCTAAGCCAGCAAACGGTCAGTTCCTTGAGTAAGGGTTTTTAAGCTAGGGTCCCCAGTTTAAAATCTAGATTCAGTAGGACTGAGGAAATGGAAACATCAGAACTGCTCTTCCATAGCCAATTGATACCTAGGAAGCTTTACTGCAGTAAAAAAAAGGCTAGGAATGACTGAAGTAGGATTTTGCTTTGGTAGGTCAGATGACAGCAGATGTACCTAGAAACTCTAAGTGTAACAGTATAAGTGTCTGCATTATCTAGTGTTTGTCTCATAGTTTTGACTGACTCTGGACAACAGAAATCTAAAGATATGAAAAGTGGCTCTTTGTCCTCAATTAAAACTCTTGAAGTTAGTTTTGCTAGCAATGGCCATTGTTAACAGCCAAGTGGCATACAATATCTTAGGTGCAGAAAGGAGAAAGGGAATCTTCCAGGGGATTACCCTGCACCCAAAGAGCCTTTCATGGTGGTATAGTTTATGGAACGAACTATATGTATTGTTTATGGTATAAACTATATACATGTTCCCAATGAATATGGCTGAGCAGAAATTTTCCATCCAAACCATTTTTGGACAGCAAACTTGGTTCATGACTCAGTGGAAAGTGGTACCTGAGGATTGCTTTTGGGGTTTTTTTCCATAAGAAAATTAATGTCTGAAAACTAATATGTTTTGGCTGGGGAAAAAAAAATAGGTATGCTATAGCACTTGATTTTTCATTGAAACTGAAAAATCCTCCCATTTTTCAATCAGCCGTAAAAGGAACTTTAAGAACAATGCCCCCCTCCATTTTTTCATGCAACCCTAAGGAAGCCCAACATTAAATGGAGCAAATGCTCACTACTTCGCAAAAACTGCATGTGGCAACTGAATACTGCAGACCACAGTTGCCCTTTGATTTGCCTCCATGGCAACAGATTTTGAGTCTACAAAGTGTTACAATATCTTTACTTCCAATATATTACTGAACCACTTGATTTCTCTGGGTGCAGTATAACATTCCAGATAGGCTGGAATTCCTGGTGTACATGAGAGGCCACGCTTGCACTCGAACTGTGGGGAAAATCTGTTAGCTTTGTTTAATACAGACTCTCTTTAAGAAGTACTGTAATTCCACAAGAGGTGCTATTATACAAATGGATACACAAAGATGTTTCTGTGAAGTTCATTGAAAATCTGACAAAGGGATAAAACTTTAGAAGGCTGCATGGTATATTAAATTAGCACTTCAGTTTCATTTAAGAGTCGCAGAATTACATTTGCTCATCAAAGTGTGAATATTGGCCTGTTAAATAATCACTGTTTTAGAATAACATCTATGTTACTTATATATAGGCTGGAGATCCGCTGTTTATTGAGACTTTCCTGTAAAGAGATATGGCTATGGTTCTGCTGAGACTGGGAAGCTAGGATTGAAACTGAATCTGAGATAAAACATTACTGGAAATCTCTCTCTAAATACTTATTTGAATGCAGTAATACCAGTAGTTTGCAGAGAGAGTAGGCGACTACAGTCATAATAACTAGCCCACAACAACAGATCAGATTTAGATTACTGCTTCAAAATAGCCCTGGAGGGGACTGGGATACCTGAAGAGAGGCTAATGGTAAAGTCTGCTTCTTGCCCTCAGTTCACTATTGCTGACACTGCTTCTCAAGTATTTTTCCACTGCACAGTCCTTCAGAGGAGCAGCAGCTTCTGGAGATGCAACAGCTAGAGCAGTTTAGTTTCACTGACACTCTCTCTCAGGAAAGAACAGGAATGTGCCATCTGCTACCAAGTAAGAACACACTGGCATGTGTCACCTAAGGTTCAGACACTCTCTCTTCTCCTTCAGGTTGAACTATTAAAAGACCTTAGATTTAGCAGAAATTAAAGATTACACCACCTCCTGAGTGCAGCTTAAGCAAGGCCCCTCATGCGGAAAGACGGTTGTAACGACCACCACCTGAACTTTTGTCTCCTCCACCTCTCCACCCTACATGTTCTTCCACCATGTGACTTCGAGAAAACTACCTGCCATGACACGAGCTGCCCATAGATGCACAAGATATGCAGAAGTGCCCAAGTTCTGCCCAGTGGAGCCTTCTGCAATGCATTTTGCTAGCTGCTTGGGTCCATTAACCCAACCCCACAGGGAGGCATGCCCTAGCTCCCCCTAGCATCTGGCCCACACCATTGCAGACATTTTCAGAATCAAAAGTGAATATCTGTTCACTTGCTTAAATCGGTTCAATTTGTGCAACTTAGACAAACCTACAAAGATTGAAGGGATTCAGCCTCAGGCTTTTTGCCAGTCTGTACTTAGCCCTACAGAGAGGCCACTGATAGGAGGTATCATCAGTGAAGCACTGATAATCATGACGCCTCCCTAATCTCATGCATTTTTCTTCTGACAATTATCCATTGCATGTCCTTTCATCTGTGACCCTTTCCTGGCTTGGGCTATGATGAAGAATTCCAGTGGTGAAGAACATTCAGTGTTATGCTGATCTTTTTTCAGGTATTTTCTTTGGCCATAAACCACTACCATCAACTCTTATTTTTCCAAATTACTGGTTAGATTAGGTTATTCAATTACCTTGGCCTGTACTGCCAATAGCTTTGTCACTCAAACCCAGGAAGAGTTCATTAGGAGCAGACCTGGGGGCTTGGGAGATCATTTGTCATAACACTAGGAGACCTGTGCAAGATTTTATACGACATGAAGATGTCTCCTCCCAGCCCTGCTAGGATCCAGGTATTTTCTGTGGGTCAGGGATATACGTACTGTGCGTACCAAAGCAGAATGGTCACTTCATTCCTGTCACACTCTTTAACCATCCCCAGAGAAATGCAGAGGTAGTCAATAAATACAGTACAATTAAACATTTATTGGCCAAGCGTAAAATATTTCTGGATCATGTTTTGCTGCCTTGCAAACAGGGCTAACCTGGGATCAACTCTTCTTTGTACATTAACTTCTTTATAAAAACATAACTGCGGCATTGAAACCTTTGGGCAAGACACTGTTAAAACAACATATAACCTCAACTATCTTAGTGCAAAGCCTTCCGTGTACTCAGGGTCCGCAATTTGGCAGCTTTTTGCTGGACTCCGACTTAAAAATTGAGGGCGTACATAAAATAAGAAAGGATTTAAACCCTGAAATGGTTACAAATGAATTTAAGTGAAGGGAACAGGATAGCTTCATAAGCAAAGGTTAGCAAATAAATCTGGAGGGTCAGAGGACATGTAAGGGATCATGGGAGTGATTGCCAGCTCCTTAAATCATTATACTTCAGTGATAACGGGTTAAAACTTTGTTACAGGAGTGCTCTTCATCTGTGCATGGATAAGAAGTTGGTATATAGAAATGTGCCAGTAGATGGCACTCTGGTATAGGTACAGTGTTTATTGGTATTATAGGACCAACTTAACAGAAAGGGGGACAGTTTTGTAGGATTGTACCTCAGAGAGGCACCATCCCTGCCGGGCAACCCTCTTCCCACCTCCAACAAGGTAACTTTTTCTTGCTGCCCATAATAACACCGTGAATGCCATCTGACCCTGCAAAGCCATGCCTCACCCGGTCCCTTCCACCCTATGCCCTCCGAGATGGTGTCCAGGTATTCCAGGTGAGGCCACTGATCTTTAAAGTGAAATTATAACATAACCCTATTGTGTTTCACCCCATTCCTTGTGCAGCCTTTTGGGGCACATTGAGCTGAGCTTTGCATCATGCTGTCCAGAGCTGCAGTGGGCTCTTTTTCTCCGGTGGCTACAATTAAGGTAAAACTCAGTGAAGTCTTTGGGCAGCCACTGGCTTCCAAGGGAGCAGGGTCAGAGTTCTCATCCTCTGAACAGTTTCATCATGTTCTCCAACATTATTAGCCTGAATGTAGCATCTTCACTAGCAATACTCCTGCTACCAGCATGGCAAGACCTTCAGCTGGGGCCAGGATACCTAGGTTGCAATGAAGAGTGAGGGGAAAACCACCTGGGTCCTGAATCAGTTACCACCAAGGGTTCGGGATCATGCATCTATCTATGATATTTGCATTCACCTGCATTATTATTATTACACAAGTCATCTACCTAACTGGGCACATCCATTAGCTTCACAATATTCATGTACTGGGAGCAGATGAGATTTGGCTTTCTGCCCACATACACAAAAGAGACTTTTTTTTTTGGTCAAGTGCAGGGGGAAATCCTTTCCTGTCCAATAAAATATTTTTATTAAGAACCAACTAAAGAGAACAGATGACCCAAAGAGTCCTCATGACCTCCAAATTCAAGGTATCAAAGGTCATATGCCTACTGTAACAAAGGGGGTAAATTAACCAAATAAGGGATGTCGGCAGACAGCGAGAACATTTGCAACTCTCCCTCCCCATATAAAAAAACTTGCATGATGCTAAAATAAAAGAGTTAATGAGACAGATTCCATGGGGTTTCAAGAGCTGAAATAAATGTAGAATTAGGATTATAGCATCCTATAAAATCAA